AAGTAGCTGAGGGAACCTTTTGCAGGTGACTTGATAAGGAGACAGCAGGGACCCTGTAGAGGTATGGGAGGGAGGGATCACATGATCTAGAACAAGGCAAGGTGGTGATGAGGAGCTAGATCCAGAAGAGGAAGCAGGTTGGGGGAACAGTCAGCTAGGAACAACGTCCATCGGGGTAGCAGGGGCACAGGATTGGTCTCACCATGGCCCTGAGAGTTCTAATCACACTGGGTGCTTTAGTGATGCAAAGAAAAGGAAAAAATAAGTGTGAAATATGGCCACAGTGAGGTCTCAGAGGGATTCTTTTGGATAGAGCACAAACCATGGCTGCAGAAGACAGAGTGCCAAGGTGTTCAACAGAAGCCCACTTGGGTGGACGAGCAGAAGTCCAGGCTGGTGTGAGGCTGAGATCAAGCTAGTGGCAGCTCTAGGCTCAAGTGAAGTTCAGAAAGGTTGGGAAACTGAGGCTGTGCCCAGATTCTCCACTGCTCAGTGGAGTCAAGGCTTACCCTAGTACTCTGGCTTTACAGAGGAAGGAGAGTCATTCTGGCCTCACAGAGCCAGGTTAAGATGTTACCTGAAGATGCTGTCACGAGTGATTGAGCCATGATCCCAACTTTTCACATCCCTATTGGCAATTAACTCATTTTCATACACTGTCAGGTCTCCAGTGACCTACGGGGGTGGGAAAAGGAGAGTCACTCATTCCCACTGGTCAGATGCCACTTGTCTGCATCTACCTTGACTTGGATCTCGGGGACACTACTGTGGGAGACATTTCCCATTCCCTGAGCAAAGCTGAGAGCAAGAGCAGTGGTCAATTATTGCCTTGCCTTACTGTTAAGGAATGAGGAAGCGCATAGAGTGCTGGACAAAGCAGTTTGCTGCTCTGCCAATTTCCCAAATGCAGCAGGGCGAAGAATCTGTTTCCTGTTCTCCCTGCTAAATGGAGGAGAATGGCAACTGAATCACAGCTGGGATGGTCTCAGTTGAAGGCACAGGACAAATTCCAGATTTCTCAGCATTTCTCAGGGTGTTCTGCCCTAGAGAATGCCCTACGTACTGAGCAGGTGTTGGAACTCCCCTCTGGGACAGGATACTAGGATCATCCCACCTGCCCTCCAGAACCAGATACAAAATCCCAAGGCAGCCTGTCCTGCTCACCCAGCTTGTGGTTCCACAGGAAGTAAATGGAAACTGGAATAGGATGAAGGCAGGGGTTACCATCACAGGCTCACACCCACTGCCGTTCCCGAGGACCAGGTGCACAGAATCCAAACGTAGCGGAGGAGACACCACTTCACGGGACACAGCAATGGAGAAGTGGCCCTCTTGGCTACAATGTGAGGTCACTACAACACCAGAGGAGCAAGGGGCAGCTCATCACTCCATGATTAGGTCAGTGGACAGAAGTCCAATGACTTAGTTGTTGTAACCCCCTCCCTCCAGGCCACACCTATTGGTATTCCCACTGGTAAGCACAGGAACAGGCTCAGCTGCGTACTGCTTACCCAAGGCTCAGAACCAGCACCTGACAGTCTTACCCTTACACCTACTGTAACCCAAGGAAAAGGATTCACTTCTACTCAGTCTCACTTAGGGAGCAGGGAGAGTAGCACTTGATTTATCTTAGAATTTGGGCCTAGGAATGTGGCATATAATTGCTCATTTAGGGGTAATTATTCACATTCCAAAACCTTCAAACATGATTTAGGCCCCATGGAAAGTGGGGTTCTTGGAATAAAGTTCTGTTTACTCTAAAGCTGGTATTCTAAGGGGAAAAAGGTTTATATCACTTAGAAGGTGCCTGGCATATAGACTGAAGTTTCTTGAAGTCACTGAGTATTGGTTGCCCTGTGTCTATGATGTGGGAGCACAGAAAGGAAAGGCTGGAGGAAGCTTTAGTCTGTCGGGTCCAAAAGTTCTGAGACACATTGCTTCTATGTGAGGCTCTAATTGCTTAATATATGCTCTGAGCCACTATTTTCCTCTCAGTTTCACAAGGAGTAACTTCACAAGGAGTAACTGGGGTTTTCTTTAGCTGGCTCAGTCAACACAACACACCTGTGTTCCCATAATAACAGGAACTGGCTCCTCCTGCAGGGCTGAAGCAGCAGCCCAGCTCTTCACAGTCTCCTTGAGAAGCCGGAGAAGATACACATGGTAATCTGTCCTCCACGGGCACAGAGTGGCACAGGTCAGCACCTGGAGGATGTTGGGCTGGGTGTGGAGAAGGGAAGAGTAGCTCAAGCTTAGTAGGAGTTTTTGTTACAGAGACTGAGAAGTTCAGACAGATGTTTGCAAAGTCTGGCCACATTACATGCTGGAGATTCAATCTTAGAAGGCTAGGGAAAATTAAAGTAGCTTTATAAGGTGATCCTGAAATGTGGGGATTTTCCTTTCTTTTTTGAAGGGAGGGATACCTACAAGACTAGTACAATTAGTGGGGCTACTTACTTTTCTTCTCACAAGGACCCTTCTCAAACTTTAGCTCAGACCCAGGTGATCTTCAGGTAACTTCAGTTACCTTCACTTTACGAAATGCAGGTCTGGCCTGTGGTGGCCTGTGACTTTCAATTCATCAATCTCACCCATGCAGACAGTTTTGAGCAGCTGGGCAGTAAGAATTCCAGATTCAAATCTGTTTTCACTGTGAGGTTGGCACTTAGATCACCAAGCAAGATTTTCTGGTATAAGGTAGGCATCATCCTCTCTGAAAATTCCCCTAGATCAAGAAGCCCCAGCTGAGAGGCAGGAGATTTGCATCCTAGCCTAGAAAATAGAGCCAAGTCTCCTTGCTAGCTCAGCTGCCTTTTCTGCCCTCCTCAGTGCTGAGAGCTCCTACTCCTGGGTTAATTCTTGTTAGAACTCCAGCACTGCAAGTAGGGGTGGCTACAGCAGGCTGATTGCAAGGAATAGTGCTAATCCTTATGGCAGCTGGTAGTATTGAGGGGAGAAACAAGCAGAGCAATGGCTACACTGAGAACCACTCTTTTCTGAATGTCACGTGTCACAGCAGAACAAGTCAGAGGCCTGAGGGTCCCTCTAAGACAGCTGCACTCACCGAGAGCCTGAAGCCTCCAACGGTTACCTGGATGATTCACAGGACACTTGAGGAGCCTCTTCTTCAGCAGTGGTGTATATCCAGCTGCATCCACTCCTTCCACCCCAACTGGCAGGATGTAGTGGAAGTCCTGGAGAAGCAGCCCTGGGAAGTCAGCCTGGCTGCTGGGAGCAAGGTCTCAGTGTTGCTAGAGACGGAGTCCTACTTACCCACACCTTGACGTAGCAGCCACTGTAGTTGGCTTCCAATGTCACTGAGCCACTAGGGTCCTCCTTTATCCACATGCCACACTTTGAATTGTTCAACAGCCTGTGTGGCAGCCCTTGATTATCTGCAGAAAGGGAAGGTCAAAAGTACAAGTGGTCAGTCATCCTGGTTACCAGTGCCGGGGACGGACAGCTAGCCAGGCCACTAAATCCAGTGAAACTATTCATAAGGGAAACTTGATGACAGACAGCTTCAGTGGTAGGTCTGTCTCAGACTAGCCTGCAAACAGAAGCTACAGAGCTCCTTCAAGGGGGAAAGCAACAAGGTGGGAAGCTGAATAGCAGCTCTCAGCAGCAGAAGCTTTTCTTGGCTAAACCAGTAGTGGACAAACCTACCCCAAACTACAAACACGGGCATCATCTTGTCCTTGCGGAGAGACTTAACCATGAACTGAAAACTCTGCTGCCCACAGTGGAGCACACCAGGCTCACTGGGAGCCCCCAGTGTATGCTGACCACTGAGGGCAAGTGACAAGAAGAAGCACAGCAAGAAGCGCTGCATTAGCCACATTCTGTCAGGAGGAGCCCTGGCCGGTGGCGAGTCGTCCTCCTCACCCAGAGCCACTCTTTCCTAGCTCCAGAATTTCTTATATACAGAGATGAGGCTTGCTTTCAGGTGTGTACCTTTAATGCTTGCGAGCAAACTACTTCTGCAGGCAGTTTTTCCAGGCTCTTCCACTCTCAGGGCACAGGCCGCAGCTGTGCCACATTAGCTTGCACAACTCATGGGGTCTTTGGAGCCTAGAGAAAGTGCAGTTTTTTTTAGGTAACCCAGACTTTATTGGTTCACTTTTTGTGGCACTATTTTCCTGACTTCAGCCCTTCTTCTAGAAATTGGCATGTTTGGGTGTGAATCCCAGCTCTGCCATCTGCAGTGATGAGATTCAGTTATTACTTCTCAGAACATTAGTTTTCTTTTGGTAAAATGGAAATATTTCCTGGCTGCAGTGTTTTTGAGGTTTAAGGGACATATTCTAAATCATGCAGCCACAGTAGAGCTTGGCAAGGCCACCAGGGCTCAGCCAACATTTTTGGGTGAGAGTTAGTATCCTTTCTCCTGTTCTAAACTTCCAGGAAAAGTCACTGAATAATTGGTTGCTGACATGTAAACTCAGAAAGATTTTTACCTTATTCTTAGGAAAAGATGAACTACATTCACTTCTGCTCCTGAGAATTTCAGGACAGAAATCTCTTCTTGACAAATTCCAAAGTCTTAGTTGCCACAGTTGTCCTACTGGATATCTTACCAGGACCGAGTGGGAAATGTGGATAGGACACCAAGTCCCCATATTAGCTGTCCTGTGGCTTTTGCACCTAAACATGTTAGTGTTTTCCTGTATTTTGGGCATTTTCATGAAGGCACTGAGGTTTATTATTTGCTCACTTTCCACACTTTTGTCTGTGTTTTGTTGTAGGACCTGAGGTGCTTGCTCTTTCAGCTCAGCATTGACAAGGCTGCTGGGCATTCCTGAGGAATTTAGGGATGAATAGAAGTGAGACAAGAGTCTAGAAATCAGCTTCCATGGTCTCCCACCAGTGTCCCGAGGTGGCTATCTGATTGTACTTACCCTGACATTTATTCTTTGAAAAGCTTTCCGTTATGAACTAAAAGTACTAGCTGAAGCACTGATTGTGGTTACCAGGGATCTCTGATTCTCTTTAGTGAAAGCAAACACATAGCTGTGTCTCCAGAGAAATAGAATAGTGCCTTTAACCATGTGGTGACAAACCCCGGGAATGGGTAGCCTCCCCTCGCAAGTGGGAATTGGCTTCCTGGGTTAGGAGTTCACGGTGGGGATGGTGCAGATCACATCCCATTATTTGTGCACAGGATTAACCACTCTAAATTGTAACAACTTCCTTATTCAGTTTCCCTACTAGAAGCACTTGAGGACAAATGCTGTTTTACTCATCCTTGCATCCTGAGTACAGAGTGGATCAACCTTTGTCAGTGCGTGGTCCAGTGGCCACAGGCCTCGAAAGTGTAGTTTCAAAAGTTCACTTGTCCAGAGTCTTTTTATGGTAAACTCATAGCCCTTAGGTTATTTTCCTTTAGGTAAATATACATGTGATTGTGTGGATAACAAAGAATATGTGGAGCAGACTCTTATAAGATGTCTCAGGAGTTAAAAATGCAGTCTTCTGACTTATGAGTGCTGCTTTATAAAGTAGTGGGGAAATGGAGAGGTGTGAGAATTTTGCCAATACCTGGAGGCATATTGTGGACTGGCTAAGTGGGAGATGTTAGCACAACTAGGAGGTTATTGGTAGCTAGTGTAAGGTATGCACAGTGCTTCTCACAGTGCTTGATGCCTGATAGCCACTCACTACGTTGTTACTGTCAACAAGACCTGCCTGGGCATGAAGGTGTGATGGGCGTGAGAGAAAACAGGTGCCAACACCCACTGCATCTGTGGGGGGTGAGGGAAGCAGCCTGGTCTCGGGGCTCTGCCATGATAGAAGCCTGCAGGGAAGCATAGCCAGCATAATAACAATCACCTGGACTCCCAAGGCTGCGTGATAAGGTAATCCCATGGGGTTCAAGTCTGGTGACTTCATGTTTGCTCCTGGGCCTTATTGTTCAAGGACATGGTTATTTTACTTCATCACTCAAATCCAGATTAAGAACATGCAGTGAAAATGTGTCCTCAAGAGGCCCCAAGGTTAACAGATAAAGTAGCCTATCTCCTATTATAACAGCTCACCATCTTCTGCATTTGGAAGGGTGAGTGCTAGTCTTTATCTCGTATCAGAACCACCTGGCCATGTAAAACTCATTTTAATACCATTACAATCAAATTGTGAAGTTACATAACTTGTAGAGACTTACTCCAATAATCACTGCCATGATCACTGGATATATGTCATAGGCAGACTTATGATACCCACTGTCACTTATGAAAGTGCTTAGAAGTTCTATGTAGAAGGCTGCACTGCCATTTCTCACCCACGGATCCAACCATTCAGGATCCTTTTCTGGGGGGAGAACAAGAGTAGCCTGTGCCACTAGACAAAGTCAAATAGATGTCCAAAAATCACATTCCATCATTGCACACTCACATTGGAAAACTTCCACACAGAACAAGGACATAGCTAAACTAACTTTACGGGTGTCAACCTTAGTAAAGTGTAGGTGTGCCTGGAGCTTTCTCTGAAGATCAATTGCAGTTCAGTAGTATAGGAGCTGTCACAGAATACTTCCTGGATTTTGGGGGGGTGACTCTTCAGGTTGCGACACTTTTTGTGGTTGCCCTCCTATCCCTGGAGCAGCATTCCTAACTGGAGGAGGTGGTTCCAGGAGAACAAGGCTCCAGGAATCACTCTTCAAGTGTGAAAAAGCAACAATCAAAATTACCTCCAAACATGGAGAACCAATTAGACCACTGTGCATGCTAATCAGTAATTAAGCAAAGAAGGAGCAGCCCACTAATCTCAGCATGTGGTAGAAATCAGGCCCTTTTCTTCTGCAGGAAGATACCAAACTTGCCATACTGCAAGGGTTTCCAAGGCTTTCCTTTGCAAGATGCAAGAATGGAGCATCACCTAGAGTTAATTGTGAGGTGATAGGTTCCATCACATGTCTCTCCTTTCAATTCTTTCTCTCTCTGCTCAGGTCCCCAAAACCCACTCTGAAAGGCTGTTCTGCTAGCTACACAGAACATTTTTCTGATTTTTTCTCTCCTCTCCTGCTTCCTCCCTTTCTTTGTTCACAGTCAATCATGTTAGGAATGATTCTTCCCTCAGGCAGAATGGGGTCCAGCTGAATAGTGTTTTGGACTTTCAGCAGTATATCATGCTCTTTCCCTCTCCCCTCCCATTCTGCCTCCCCCCTCCCTGTCCCCTTTTCTTTGGGATCGTGGGATCAACATCTAATGATAAGCTGGTGATGAATCTTCTGGACTGTACAGGACATCTCTCTTTTCATGCACAGCACCCTAGTTATGTGCATCTGCTTCAGGGCAGGTCCTGATCTTTGCTATCTATGCTGCATGGCTGAACATGTGGTCTTAGCAGGTGACAATAAATTCTAAGCACTGTAAACCAGTAGGGTCTCTCTCAACATCTCTTTATGCTCATCAAAGCATATAATTGTCGTAGCTCCTAATTCTGACTTTTAAAATACTAACAAGAGGAAAATTCTCATTTTATTGATTTCAAGTAACTCATTTTATAGCTTGTATAAATATGGCAAGTGGTCCCTGGTTTTGGCCTTGCTCACTTATGATTTTTTTCAAGCTCGTGTAAACTACTCCTCCACTGTAGAGCATGAAATGTGGGCACAAAGAACAAAATTAACGACCAGTTTGATTGGGAGCTGGGCAGGCCTGGGATTAGCAGGTGTCAACATTCATTGGCCTTTTACTTGTATGTGAGTAGTAACCATGATTTTATTATATGTGATCCAAAATATACGGGGCTCTAGAAAACTATCCTTCTCTACCATGTGTCCCAAACAATACCAAACACATCTTTTCATGTAGCTGTGGTTTGAGAATGAATGAGGGTCACTGCCTTGGTTGTAAAGACCATCTAGTAGGACAGAGGATATGCTATTTAAAATGGCAAATGTGATGAGTGTGTGTGGAATTATTTTCATAGTTCAATGTACTAGGGATTCTCTAACAAAGTACCATGGACAGGGTGAAGCAAAACAATGGAAACACATGGTCTCACAACTGTGGAGCTGAAAAGCTTGAGACCAAGAAGGAAGCAAGGTATGGTCACTGAGAAGCATGCAGGGAGAGCTCTTCATTGTGTTTGTGCTCCTGGGCTCACGGATGAATCCATGTCTTCAATCTTCAATCTCACACGTTGCAAGGCACTTTCCCATTCTCTTCCCTCTATGTGTGTCTGTTCCTATGTCCCTATTTCCTTTATTGTAAGGATATAGTTACATAGGCTTAAGGCCCACCCAGATGATCTCTTTTTACTTGATTACTTTCTAAAGACCCTGTTTCCAAATAAGGCCATATTCTCAGGTACTGGGATCTAGAAATTCAACATAGCTTCATGTGTTTGTGTTGAGGGAGTACAATTCATCCTGTCATATCTCACAGACTACTGTAAACTTATTTCAGCCAAGTTAATATTTGTTCAGACTGGACATTTAATTTTTTTTAATCATTCATTTGCTACAGGGTCTCACTACATAGCTTGAACTTGTAGTGACTCTCCTGTCTCAGCCTCTCCAGCACTGGGATTATAGGAATGCACTACCATGCCTGGTTCTGGGGCTGGCATGGCATGCAGTGCCGGAGACTGAGCCCAGGTCTTTTCACTTGCCAGGCAGGCCTGTAGACTTCTGAGCTATCACCCCATACCCCAGACTGGACATTTTTTAAAAGGATCATTTGCCTTCTGAAAATAGTATACATTTCCTTGTGAAAATTCCCAACCTGGTTTTGATTCAACTAAAGAGATTTTGTATCTCATTTTCAATTAGAGGGAAGGGCTCTGCTGTGTACTTCATGAGTGAATGGGTTGGTTCTTTATCAGTGAAGGGCTGCTTGA